GTGTGGCAAATTCCAAGCCCCTAGGACCAAAGGACCATTACTGCGCACCAGCCCAGCCTGGAGAAGCCACAGACATGAGACACCAACCTGGATAGCAAAGCTATCCAGACAGGGCTGCTGAGGCCTTGAGGACACAAACCCTGCACTGGAATGGCCAGGAAACGGCAAGTGACATTAAAGTCCATCATTACTGTCCATCTTGGAACTGGAATGGTGAGTTCCGAGTGGCCTTTGGACTTGCTTGGGACCAGTTGCTTTTACATGCTCACTTGGTGATATAATGTCCATTAGAGGCTTGGGCCTCACTGCGCTTTGCAAACAGGTCACTTGTTTGATCTTCTGGGCTCAGGGATGGAAGATGCTGCCTTAGGATGGGCTGTTTCCTGGGACTTGTCCATATATGACTCAAGGGACACTCTGGGCTTTGCCCTTTGGAGCTGATACGGGAAAAAGTCAGGGCTTGGGGATGGGGAAAATGTACTGCGCATATAAGAAAAACATGGATTTGATGAGCAGAAGGGAATGCTGTGACTTGGATAGGTCCCCGCAGTTCCCAGGTTGGCAATGATCCCCATCTCCAAAGTGTGGAGTAGGAGCCTTTCAGGGGTGCCGCAGCCATGAGCACACGTGCCTTTCTGGATTGCTCCGTCGGTGACACAGCAGAAGAGCCTAGCTTGGGTGTGTGTGTTGTTTCTATGCTGGAAATTAAATCCAGATGCTAGATAAGTAATCTAGCCCCGAACTGTATTCCAGGCTCCACGCTCCTTCATTTTTTACATCCTAGCCTCCTGAACTGTAGAAAATAGATTTTTTTTTTTTTTTTTTTTTTTGTGCTGGGAATTAACCTCGGGCTCTCATAGATGATAAACAAGCACTCACCTACTGATCTATATCCACAGTCCTTCAGTCTTTTTAATATTATTTATTTTGAGACCATAAGTAGTCCGGGCTGACCTGTACTCCTCAGAATCTCAACCAATGATCCTCCTGCCTCAGCCCCTAAGCAGGCCTAACTACGGTTCTTTCTTGATAGGTAAACAACCTAGTCTCTGACTGGGGCCATGCCTCCACAGGTAAGGCGCTTGCTGTGCCAACCTACGAGAAAGCCAGATGTAATGTTTTATAACAGGGGAAGGAGGTGGCTAGGTGGAGCCTGAGGACTAGTCAGCCCAGTCAAAGTAGCTCTAGTTCAGTGAGAAGCCTGCCTCAGAGAGAGAGAGGGACAGAGAGCCAGAGAAAGAGACAGAGACACGCACAGAGAGAGATCAAGGACTACGCTTAGCATTGACCTCTGGCCTAGTGTGTGTGTGCGTGTAGAGTGCCACAGGCCAGGCTTTTAGCCGCTGCTCACTTTGCCTTGGTGGTTTGGACAGCAGAAAGGAGACAATGCCCTTGCGTCTCTCCCTGAAAGGCCCCCGTTTACACAGGCTTGGGTAGAATGTGACACATAGACTCAACTTGTAGCAGTGGAAGAACTGGCCAGACGGTCACCAGATGTTCTGAAGCAGCAGATCAAGACGATAGATGACATATTTATTTCCAAAAAGCCTGAGTCCCCTCCTGGCCTCAGCTTCCACATCTGTAAAATGGGTCTGAAAGGGCCTGTGACAGGGTGAGCTACCGTAATGGGTGTCCAGGGCCTCTCTGGAGCTTGGCCACAGCAAAGATGGAAATGCTGGCTGGGGTGAGGTCCTCACCTGTCAGAGATCAAGGGACTGTTCAGAGGTCAAAACCAGACCTGGCCAGCAGTGGCCCCTTCCCCACTCAGGTCGGCTGTGTGACCTGAGTCACTCCTCTGGCCTCATTTTCCTGTGTTTCAGAATGCAGGAGACGGAGAATGATGCTTGCCATACTTGACACACACTGCCGTTATCACTAATCCTAAAGTACATTCGTGCCTCTCCAGGGCACCTCCTGCTCCTGGGAGATAGATGATAGGAGCCTGGGCAGAGTGAGGAGGCAGGGACAGAGAGAGCACACAGCACACACCCAGGTACCATGCTCGACTGTGGAAGCTCTCCAGAGCTCACACTGCAGAAGACAGAAGAAAGTGGCCTGCTGTCCAGTGTTTCCTGCAGGGGAGGAGCAGCATTCCCTCACACATGCAGGTCCATCCCACCCTTGCAGATCCATGTCTGAGACAGCTAGAGCCAGACATGAAAACTGTATTTGTGCCTGGGGCCCTGAAGCATAGGATGGCTCTTTGACCCTGAGGTCAGCACTTTCCCCATATGAACGCCCCTCCCCCCACACACTGTGCATGTGAAAACCCCTACCACATGAAAAACAGATGATCCCAGCTCCTTTTTCTCCCTTCTCCGTGGGCCAGGCCTCTCCGCCGCACCCCAGTGTCCCCAGGAATGCCTCTCTGTGCCCAGGAAAAGGAGTCCATTCATCTTTTGCACCACCTCTACCTTGTTGGTCTAGGACATGTGTCTCTGAGAAAAGGACAAGTGCTGTCCAACCTCACAGCATGTCCCTCTTGCTCGGCGGTGCTCGGGAAGCTTCCCAGCACCTGACACCAAGAGGAAGACAGAGAGGTGAGCATCACCTTCCCCACCCAAACCATGGAACCCAGTGTGACGACCACACAGCTCTCAGCCCTTCCTGAACCGGCCCTGATGCACAGACATGCTGGGAAACACACCCAAGGTCACTCGGTGTCCAAGTGATGGTACGAAGCCGGGTAGTCAGGCCCAGAGCCTGAGCACTTTGCCCCTGGGCTGGGTAGCTCAGATGCCCCTCCACCCCCTGCACCTTGGAAAAGCCCAGCACTGGAGGCCATGCAGGAAAGGACAACAGGGTCTCCCTGCTGGGATGGGGGAATTGAGGTGGAAACCAAAAAAAGAAAGCAGCATTTGAAGCAGACGCAGAATAAGCTTTTTAAGCTAAAAATGTAGCACATTGGCCCGACAACTCCTCCACTGCTCTGTTCCTGTTCAAGCGGGAACGCGACTCTGCCTCAGGTCAGCAGCTCAGGCCCACACCGAATCGAACCAGGAGAGCCATGCAGCAAGAATGCAGTCAAGGGTGCCGGCAACCCCACCTGCCAAACGCCCTTTTACTAAGCCTCCTGGGCTCAGGTGCTATCAAACTTCCTTTGTCAAAACCCTCACACACTGGTCCCCCTCACACAGGTGTCAGCCTATGGAACCTGTATGGCTTTGCCCAAGGCAACTGTCCAAGGTTGGCACAACTCATGTCCAGCCTTGACTGCAGAGGAAGCCATGCAGCCCGCCCCGCCCTTCCCCTCTTGCCCTAACTGATCTTAAAGCAACCATTCCTGGGTTTTCCTAGCACGTCTTCCCAGGCTTCCCTCAGCTTCCCTCACGCACACGCTCGCTTGGGCACTGTCCAACAGGCAGCCGGCTCTATCTCTGAGGTCCTGCCGGGGCCGGTGCACTAATTGCTCGGCAGCCTACCCGGCGACGCTGACAGCCCTGTGGACCTGGAGCTGCCGCCTCGCTGCTCCCTCTCCCCACACAATGCCTATGCTTCTGAATCCCACACGCGTGGGCTCCCCAAGTCACCGATCCGCCCATGTCCAGCCCTCCCCATAAACAGCGGCCCCGACAGCCCCACCTGGGAATAAGTGTCATTGAGCTCGCCCAGCTAAGCAGGGCTAGGGCTGTTCAGCCGCCCTAGGAAGGGCCACCCAGGGTGGAGACTGCAAGGCGGCCTGTCAGAGGCTGCACACTACAGCAGGAGGGCTGGCAGGGTCCCAGTGCAGAGAGACAAGCAGATCACATCATGAAGGACAGAGGCGCCCTGCTGGTTGTGGCCTCCCAGGTCCACTTCCTTTAGGATCTGACAACCCCAATTCCTACAACACCCATGGCTCCAAGCCAGGGGCAAACCGGGGTCTAGGAGTGGGGACCCAGGCCCCAGCCTACCCCAGCACTGGTTCCATCCCGACCCAGCCAGCTTTGGCTCCCGCACCTCTAAGAAAGGAACAAACTGCTCCTTCCCAAGACTGTTGTTGCTAAGACAAATGAACTAATTAAAGTCTGGAAAGGTTTCTTGAAGACTTAAAAAGAGGTGATTGAGCATGCAAATTAGTAACAATTACTGCCCCTCCTCCAGGCAGGCAGCCTGGATCCCTCCACAGAGAGAACCTCAGCTCTGAAGTGATAGCCTTGGCAGAGGGCTCAGCTATGGAAGACTGTGCTTTCCCTGACTCTCCCGTCCTCCCTCTCTTCTCATACCTCTGTTGCTTAGCAGCTGGTGTGTGTGGTGTGTGTGTGCTTTACCGTTTATTGAGCACCAACTGTGTGCATGGTCTTCTCTACACAGAGTAGCATCCAGGAGGATTGATTTTCAGAAGCCCCCCTTTGACCCACCGGAAAATGGAGGAAAGGGGTGTCACACAGAGAGGAGAGAAATCTGACCCTCAGTCCATGACCTTAGTCACCACTGCCAGGAAAAAGCACAGGGCACCAACACCAGACTCCATAGCCTCTTCTGCTGGCTTACCTTGTGGAGATGAGGCTGACCCAGCAGACAAACTTGGGCCCCGATGAGAAATTAAACCCAAAGTCTGCAGGAGTGTTCTGGGGCTCAGGACAGGAACTCAGCTAAGTGTCTGCCCTGAGCCTGTTTCTTTGCCTCGCCCCAGGCCAGCGGTGCTCGTGGGAGAGAGAGTGGGATCCTCATAGTGCTGATCTCAGCACAAGCCCCCTACAAAGCCAGTGTCCAACCCACCAAACAACCCCCAGCCTCAACTTCCTCACGTAGGGGATCACAGTTCTGCTTTCTCTATAACTGGGAGATGTCGGTGCTATATGGTGCCCTGACTGCTCCACAGGGCTCTGAGTTCCCGTGACCTTGGCCCCAGTAGATTTTTGAGCCACCTTCCCACCTGAAAGCTGATCCCCAAACCTTGCCCTCTTCTTCATTCAATAACTCAGCAGTCCCCCCACCCCCACCACCATGGCTTCGGAAGCAAAGGCAGCCTTCAGAGGATGGAAGAGGAAGAAAGACAATGGCAGGCTGATGCTCACCTCTCTGAGGCCTCACTCCAGAATCCCAGCTCCTCAGTAGGACTCCTGCAGAGAAACAGCAGGGAAATGGTGAGCAGACACTCAGACCTGCCCTGTAGTCAGCCCGCCCAAGCTCTGTTTAGCCCGGACTTCCCGGGCCCCGGGGCAGAAGAGGCTGCCCCGAAGATGCCAGGTCCATTTCACAGAGTAAAGCCAGCATCAGGTCGGAGCTGCTGCTGACTGGGATTTAGGGCTTGCTCAGGCCAGTCCAGGCTCTACGTGCCCTGACATATGTGAACTAGACCAGGAGAGTAGCTCAGGCCCCACCCTACCCCACCACCCCACTTTCCCACCCTGACTACCCACAGCAGAAAGAACGGTTTTCTGGTGACCGGGCACAGAGGGCTGAGCTTCACATTCCCTTTCAAGGCCAGATGTGCACCATGATCCAAAGGGGCCCAGGAGAGCTGGCAAAAATGGAGTGCTAAGGCCCACATATGCCTGGCATCATGACCCAGCCCAATTCAGCTATGTCACTGGCTCACCCTGTGACTCTGGACTGGCCTTTTATCCATCAGTGCCAGCAGGTACCAGCAGGTACACCCATCACCAGAGGGCTCTGAGCAGGTACCAGCAGGTACTCATCACCAGGGAGCTCTGAGCAAACAGCTTGCTGTCACCCTCTGAGTTTCTGAGCAACAGGTCCTGAGAATCTGCATTTCAAGCAGGATTTCCTGGGTGCTGGTAGTGCTTTGGAGGGTCCTATTTTAAAAACTTTTGGTTCTGAACATGTATCTAGCCTACAAAGTATGTATCCTGGATTTAAGAAATTGGCAGGCTGAGGTCACACACACACACACACACACACACACGCACAAACACACACACAACATCTAACTCAAAGCAGCCATGGAGGTGGGGGTGGGGAGGCTTTCCAAACACAGATTTGACAGTAGAGGGCTCTGGGCTGGTGCGGTCCTAGCAGACTTCCAGGAGGAGGTGAAATATGTAAATTTCTAAGCACAGGTGGTGCACACCTTTAACCCCAGCACTCAGGAGGCAGAGGCAGGTGGATCCCTGAATTCAGGGCCAGCCTGGTCTACAGAGTGAGTTCCAGGACAGCCAGGGCTACACAGAGCAACCCTGTCTCCTAAATCAACAAAAAGTATTCTGAATTTCCATTATTACAGAATATTGTTTTATTATTCAAGTACAAGAGACAAACTTGTGTTCCAGGCCGCTCCTCAGGGGTGCTGAGGCCCTCTGGCGGACACGCGCACCTGTAGAAGGGTGCATACACAGGTTCTACACTTGGGTGCACCAGCTCCAGTGTTCTTCCACAAGCTATAGACCTTTCCATGTCCTCACAAAGCACCAACTGTTGCTTGTACCCACGGAGCACCTGCGTGCGCACCAGACAGCAGGCTGACTGCACCACGTGTCCACCCTGCTGGCCCTTACAGCATGTTTTTGACATGGTGCCTGTCGGACCATCATCCTCTAGAGCAGTGGTTCTCGACCTGTGCATCAAGACCCTGTGGGGTCACATACCAGACAAGCTGAGTATCTGATATTTACATCACGATTTGTAACAGTAGCAAAATTACAGTCACGAAGTAGCAACAAGCATAATTTTATGATTGAGGGTCATCACAGCATGAGTAACTGTGTTAAGGGTTGTAGCAGCATTAGGGAGGCTGAGAGCCGCTGGAGGATACAGAGAATGGTGGTCAGTGAGCTGCCGGAGTTCTCTTAGAGAGTAAGCAGAGCCTGGAGCCTGGGAATCCCTCCCGAGCTACACTGTGCTCCTCCACAAGGGGGCGCACCCTCTCCAGGTGAAAAGGAACTCCAATGATGTATGCTTGGAGGGTTCCAACTTTTTTTTTTTATATTACTTACTGGGTGGCGGGTTCCTGGGGGAACCCTGCTTCCTGTGTAGATATGTAAGCATTTTTCTGGGCACATTCCCAAAGGATAGGTAAAAGGGTATACACACTCCAGATTTTTCTACTTGTTGCCAAAACACCCTCCCAAAACTTATTTTGGCTGGTACATTGTTATCTAGTTCTCCATGACAGCTTTTATTTAAGATTAGGTCCAGCCTGGTGCATGCCTTTAATTCCAGCACTTGGAAGGCAGAGGCAGGCAGATCTCTGAGTTCGATGCCAGCCTGGTCTATGAAGTGAGTTCCAGAATAGCCAGAACTACACAGTGACACTCATTCGCTGAGATCCAGGGACATCTGAGATGGTATCTCCATTCTGCAGGGGGAAAACAAACCTAAGAAGCAGAGATTAAGTTACTGTACAAGGTCCAATCTGCTACAGTATCATGACAGGAAGCGTTGGATGGAAGGAAGAAGGGGGTAGGGGAAGACTTGGCTCTGGGCTCTTCCGGTCTTTAGCACAGTTCTGGCTAGTGTCTCGCAGCGCTCTCTGGAGCTAGGCTACGGTCCCTTCCACTCCACAGAACAAGTCAAGCCACCCAGAAAGCTGTTTGGCCAGACTAATGGTCAATGTTTTGGATGCCCTGGTCCCCAAGATCTGGACAGTATCTGCAGTTCTGATGGCTTCTTTCACTCGGACATACTCATCTGGGGTCTCCCAGTACTAGCCTCCTCTACTCACTCTCACTCCAAGCATCAGAGGCCACAATGGTCACAGGCCCTCCTCCCTCTCCTGACCACTCACTCCTTGGCTGGTTTAACAGGTTTGGGCTTTCTGCACAGCTCTGCCTCCAGCTCCCTCATGCTAGCCTCAGTCTCCTGAGCACAGCTCCAAAGGTAGGAGGCAATTTGTCATCTCCACTTACTCTCCTAACGGCCCTGTCCAACATAGAACATTTCATTTTTAACCCAAAATTACATCTCCCTCTACCTTGACTCTTCTTTATCCCAAACACCCTCACTCAAGCCATCATCAGCCACTGTCATATTTTACTCCCTCACACCCATCCAGACCCTGACTACTCAGCTCCCTCTGCCCCATTGTGCCCTTCTCCTGCTGGAACTGGGCACCTCATGTGGACAACTCAAACCAGCCCAGGACAGCCAGGACATGCCATGGCTGCACCAGCAACCCCTCCTAAAGCCTCCCGGGCCTGGCCCGCTCTCAGAAGCCCCTTCCCACCACCATGGCCTCTGGCCTTCCTCAACTGGGACAGCAGCCTCAGGCTGCAGACACCTCGGTCCTGATGCAAAGTCCCCCCCTCAGATGAAGACTTCTTCCTCCCCTCAGCCCCTGAGTAAAATGGCTGAACACACCAACCACTCACTTTCACAGATAGCATTTATCCCACTGACCTGGACCTGCTTGTGTGTGTGGTGCCCCTGTTCCTTGTCCATCTCCCTCTCAACACAGACAGCAGACACCGTGTTTGCCTCTGAACTTCTGTGTGTACTGTGTGCTGCCAAGTGAATGCTCAGGAACTATTCATTGAATGAATGAATGAATGAATGAATGAATGAATGAGCAGGTGAAAAATAAATAAGTGGAGCCTGCTCTCTGTGATTACTCTCTGAAGAAGAAGTCTCCCTTAGGAAGTAGGAAGGAGTCAGAGGGCACCCCCATGGGGCAGGATACTGAGCACAGACTGGTCTGTGGCATAGGCTGAGCAGTGGATGCTGACGGGTAACTAGCGGGGCTTGCAGCTTCCCTGGGATGCCACACTCAGCAACCCCAACCGAGGGGCATGTGGGGCTTTCACACCTGCCAACCCGCCCCACTCAGGAGGGAGCCTTGGGGCAGCCGGCAGCTGAGAGAGGTTGGCAGGAGGCCAGCATGCCTGCCAACAGCTGGCGCTGCTGCCAGGCAGCCGGGTAATCGTGTTAGCCAGCGGAAATTGGTCCAGGGAGTTTTTTTTTCCTTCACCTCCCATTTTCTTTCTCTTCCCTTCCCCCTTGGAGCTGCAAGCCTCGGAAGATTGATCTTCGCCTGAAACGGAGGAGATAACTCGATATAATGAACTCCACTGTCCCTCTTGCTGTTCGGAGCCTTTAAAAAATTTAACAGGGCTGGGGACAAAGGGGGGAAAGCTGTCCTCAGGGGCGCTCTGAAAGCCCCCATCCCTACTCTTGGGCCCTCCCCCAACTTGGCTTCTGCCTCCTTTCCCTCCCTGCTCCCATGGGACGCCTTCATGGAACAAGGTTAAAAATATCCCCTTTCTCTTGCTTGTTTGGAACATAATTTTGGTGAGGTCAGGACTGGGACCACCAATGGCCCTTCTTCGCACAGCCTCCAGCCTAATGGCTGGCTTCACTCCCCAGAGTCACCAGCCTGCCTGGGGGGGTGACAAGTTGACTCAGCCATTGCTCTTCGGCAGGCCAACCGCCCACTGAGGCACTGGCGGCTGCGTGGCTTTTGTTCTTGCAAACAGCTCTTCAAAGAGCTGCCTAACGACACAAAGGAGCCCAGCTCGCTGGACCCCAGCGCTGCCCTGCCGCTGTGCACACCTCACTGGGCTCCCCTCAGCCCTCAGCCCCTCCTCTTCCTGTTTGGCAGCTCCTCAGCTGGTGTCCTTCTCTATTCATGTAGCTGTTTAGAAAGTACCTGCCCTGTGCCAAGTACTGGGCTGGGAGCTGAGACCCCCACGCCCTGAGATTCCTGACCTGAAGAACCTCACAAAGCCTGGTGACTGGGGCAACCATCGACCAGTGACCACACAGGTAGAACATGCATTGGGAAGAGCTTTATAGGAAAGGCCAGGGACCCTTCATGTAAGACAGTGATCAAGGAAGGCCTCCCGGAGGAAGTGTCCTTGTAGTGAGAGCCAAAGGACAATGAGACCACCAGATTAGGGAGGAGCAGAGAGTGCTCTGGGGACCATGCAACTCAATAGGGGCCTCACCAATGTCCTCAGCTATCAGAAAGAGTCAGACCCACAGTTCACTTAGACCCAAAGCCTCACCGCACATGCTCTCTGCGTGCCAGGCCCGGCGCACCTTTCAAGATACAGCTCAATGCATCTTGGTAGCCCTTAGCTCAATGGGTGTCTGGAAACTTCTCTGGTTTTTCAACTCTCTGCTCTTGGACTCTGAGGACCAGCTTGATCTCTGGCACCCTCATATC